TATGTGGTAGAAACTATTAATCATTGTTTTACAAATAAAGAAACTGAGGTCCAGGGATTTAAGAACATTGATTAAAGCACAGAGAGCCCCCCTGGGTTCATGTTCTTGCTGACTGGGCTAAGGGGAGTTTGCAGCGGGTATTAGCATAAGCTGGAGAAATTGGTCAAACTTCGACTATGAATTGAGTGAAAATGTGGGCATTGAACAGGAAAATGATTTATTCAAAGATTCTGAAGCAGACTCTCCTATTTTTGAGGTGGAGAGTGTCGTGTGTCTGATGCACTGGGTGGACTGAGCAATCGTAATTCAGAAAGTGGTACTCAGTGAGCTCCTTGAGCAGACTTAAACTATTTGTTGCTGAAGCACCAATGAGAGAAGAAGCGCATGCAAAGAGCAAATTAGCGATATTCCCCAAAGAATGTTGGTTGTTTGAGCTGCATGTTAGTACACCTGACAGCAGAATATTTCAGTTGAAGCAAGGACTGTATTGATCCACACTGTCACAAGCTCCTTACTCTTTAAAAAGAATAGAACATTGGAAACACATTCTGTTACATGATAGGTGATGCTCTACATGGCATTAAAATACACCTTGGTTGGAACAAGGCAGAAATGTGATTCTCACTCCTGTAACTATCCTAAAGGGAGTGCTGTAGGCATCATAGACACCTCTGCTCCATACAGGCACTCAGTGCTATGCACCATAAGTTCTTCCACCTATAGATTCCACCTCAGAGTGCAAGGCAGGCTCATTCTTCAATTACAGCCATTTCATAGCCAACAATAATTGAAACAGGAGGAACCCAGAGAGAGTGGCTTTAACCTTAAAAAGACACTTCATAACAGTTGTGTCACTTTCAGTTGTATAAGACCTTTCCATTGGATGACAGATTCAAGAGGGACTGTGAAATATAATCTCTCATTAGAATATTTGTGAAATGAGTAAAATAAGGAATGCTTCTTTATTAACTAAAAAGATATAAAATAAAAAATAAATTAAAAGATGCTAGCCCAGCCTTCTTTGCTACTGCAGAAAGCACAGATAGAGAACTAGGTGAAGCCTAGACTATGGGTGTAGGGGTAGAAGACTGAATCATGAAGAGATAATGATTGGAAGAAATACATGAAGGTCAATGTAAAATGGAATTTCTGTCATTATATTTTTAAAGAAGGTATGCTGATTTTAGCATTTTTCATTTCACTCCATTTTTTTGGAGATTTCTATGCATGAATTTATTGGACGAAATCCAAATATATATATGGTATAGTATTTTCCAAAGTAAATTACCACATGCTTTAATGGTCTTTAAGGATTCTTGATCTTTGACCCAAAATTCAACATCTGTATCACATCTCCCCTCCCTATGCTCAGAAGTACTGGAGCAAGATATGGGAGAAAGCTTGTAAGACCCAGAGGCAAGGAGGTTACTACCACAAAAATGTTCTCTGGATACAACTGGCGGTTGAGGGTATGAGTTTGCAGTGCTTATGACAGCATGTACAAGATCTGTTCAAGATCAAGCCAGACACAAATCCTGTCATGGATCAGGGAGGTAGTCATGACATCTTACCACGGCTGAGAAGCAATTGCAGTTGGCGGCTGATAGGAAAAAGAATCTTTTGCAGGGATCCAGGCTATGAGAGGCTAACCAGGTACCAGTGTAGGGTACTAAACCCAGGCACCTACAGGCAGCACTAAATGAACTCAGTGGGCTTTTAAAAAAGATCATATGAACATGGGAGAGAAAAGTGGTAATGAGGAATTATAACGTAGGACATAGGATCAAAGCACAGATGACAAGCACATGTGGAATTCTCAAAAAATAAAAGGAGAGAAATTGCTAGTGTTTTTATCTTTATACTTTGAGGTAATCTGGGTGTGACATGGACATATAAAGCCCATTTATGTCACATGTATTTTCAAACTGTATGAAGTATGAATCACACCTGCCATAAATGTATTCTTTAGAAGGTTTTACAGAGGAAACATTTGGGGGCAGGAATCAGTAAGGATAATTATGGACATACAAATAGGAAATATCTGATTGAGAATGTGACCTCAATGCAATATAGTCTCCCATTTCCCTTCATGGAGAACTAGTCACACAGACAACTGTGTCACCTGAGAGGAGTAGGTCCTCTCATACCCTCTTCTCAGGCATTGGATATGGATCACCTCTGGGGAGCAGGAGGGAGATGCATGTGTGACCTTCTGATCATATGGCATTCATCATCTATCCAATGGCAATTTTCAATCTGCAACCTCTCCCCACACACTAAAGCATGTAATGGCTGGAAGTCTGGGAGGGCCTGTTGCTGTTGTTTTACAAAGCAGAACAGTTGGCACTGCCAGTGGACGGAAAAGCATCCTTCACAGGAAATACCAAGTGCTCATTCATTTCCACTTGTTTCTTACAATGGTTCACTTCAAGTGGGAAGTTTTGACAAGATTTCCCAGAGCACGTTTCCTAGGAAACCTTGAAGATATTTGTTGGGAGAATGGGTAATCCAGTTGCTACATTTGTTGCCAGTGCACCTCCTCCATACTGTCTTCTGTTCTAGATCTCCTAACTTTGGGATCACTCTGGCACTGTCTCAGGACAATAGCTATCTTCTACTCCACTGGCTGTCCTCTTGAGAGTTTCTCCAGGTGTTCTGTCTGAAAGAGGCAATACTCAAGCAAAGATGGCTTCATTTGTGAGGCAAAAACACGAGTTGACTTTGTTCTGGTTGTAATCAAACCTCCCTCAGATCACAAGTATTGTCCTTTGCAGTTTACAGTTAAGCTGCATATGGAGACCTCCAGTAGCCTAGGAAACTAGTTTCCCATTCTCATTATACTGTAGTGATCTTACCTCTTTATAACGATAGGCTCAAGCACACCTACAAGTGTAAAGACTTCCAAGTCTGCTGAAAATGTGTTGTATTACCCTGAATTCTGCCAAGTGAAAGGTTTCTTTTAACTACTACTTTTAGGAAACCTTTCACATAGGACAACATTGTAGGAAGAGTCCGCAGTAGGCTTCTGCCCTTGTATGTGTCAATTTATCCACAAACCACACCTGGGTTTCCTCTCTTCAGCAGATTGAAGAAAACCCATCATGAAAGTACAGAAATGAACATTTAGACAGGCATCCATAGGAAAGTGCAGGTGACAGAGGATCATGGGATACTTGTTTGTCAGAGAGGTGTTGAATCTGCTGGAGAACAATCCCAGATGCATCACTTCCATCTTACAAAAGTGGAAATGGAATACACTTCAAATTTTGGGTTGTGAGACATGAATACCAGTTTCTTATGGGAGAACACAGCCATACCATTACATTATTGACTGAAAAGATCACTATATTCAAGAGCTTGGCCATATGCCAGAAGCTGAATTATCTACTTCAAATAGCATACTATAGTGTAAAACTGAGAAATATGTGCCATGCATTGTTCTTGCTTCAGTGTCTCGCCAAATGCTGCATGATAATTGATACCACAGGATCATAAGTCTTCTCAAATATATAGCTGAAACACCCTCCTTGCTCTGTGGCTCCATTTAAAGATTTCTGCAAAAACATACTGCCTAACAAACCCCAGAGAACCTGATTAGGTAGTATGCTTTCATTTTAGTAGTAAAGATTGAAGAAGCAGGAAAAAAAACTTCCTTTTGACAGGATGCTCCAGCATGCTCCAGAGTCTGCACCTCTAACACTTATAAATGAAACAAACTCTTCATACTGTGCATGCTTGAACTCCAGCGTGTCTTTACATTGGCTTGGACTGTTTTTGAGGCATGTCTTCATTTCATTCCATAGCCTTGAACTCATAATATTTCCAACTCCACTTCTGCTACTAAAGTTCCTGGATCACAGATGTATAAGGCTATCCCAGTTTCCAAACTCTCAAGTGCATTTTTTTCAGCCAGGCAGCCAGAGTCCTCCTCTTGCTTTTTATCTGGTGGAATGAGTCCCAAACCAATGATCCAATGAAAAGTTCCGTGAGACCTCTGAATCATAAGAGGAATTAGCTTGACATGTTTTTGAAAAATATGCCAAAATCTAATATGAGAAAATAATTTTTACCAATGAATTCTAAACATTAAAAAAGAAAAGAAAGTATTTTAAATTGTATAGGCATGTATTTGTAATCTCAAGTACTTGGGAATTTAAAGCAGGAAGATTACTTGGGCTCATGAATTTGAAGCTAGAAATATCCTAAATGAATAAATAAATAAATAAATAAATAAATGTGCTTTTAAATAAAAACACCTCCTTGAAATAATATATTCTCTATTAACACTTTTACCATCTCATTTTAAATAAAAATTTAAATCACTAAACGAGATTAAACAAATTAACTAATAAGTGTTGAAATGACATAAAAGGTTTCAGTTTTACATTCTTTAATTGAAAAATGGAGGTTCATCTGTATAAACATTTCTAGACAAATCTAGCATCATTAATTGGATAAAACAGCTACTCTGCCATAGAATGGTATACTGAAAACTATGATTTTTACCTGTAATTGTCAGAGTGGTAGGAAGAGTCATAGTTCCAAACAACTCATCTGACTGGTATTATCTTCAGAAACATTTACAAAGAAAGTCACCTTGAATTAAAAATAAAGTATCCAGTATCTAATATATAGATGTGTTAATTTTGAAAAGAATAGAAAAGAAGCTATGAAATTATAGTTACATGAGGGTGAGTCAAAGCCTTTTTGACACACAGACATAAAATAAAAGCCACAGATAGAGTCCCCATTACTATCTGTCATAAATAGCATGAACATCGCAGCAGGTCTGATTTGAAGCTGTGGTTTATCCAGCCTTGGGTAGGAAAACCAGATAATCTGTGCCTGAGAAAGGATTTTGGAATCAAAGAACCATAACAGAATGCAAGACCCAACTCTAGAAGATCAGGCAAGAATCCCATCCTGTCTTATTTCAAACATTCTTAAGACATAGCAGCCAGGGTTCAGTATTAGATAAGATGTGCTATTTTGCCTTTCAGAATCCATGTGATGATAAACGACACAAAGACATCTGGTCCAGGGAGAAAACTTGTGATCATTTACCAAAATTCCTTGTGATTGGTCCACAGAAAACAGGTAAGGCTAGGTGGCGATATTTCTTCCTTTCTTGTTATTATACTTGTGACATGACAGTATGGGAATCTTGTTTTGTGACCTATGCAAGCTCACTGTTGAATTCCTGTACCTCCTCATGATACATGGTTATTCTACCAACCTCCAAAGGACTCTATTGTTTGCTTAATTAGACTTGAACTGTAAATGCTTTAGATATAAGGTTTAAAATTGTTTACCATACATATCAACGTATTGCTATTTTTTAATCTAAGGGTCACAGTTTTTCTGGTTTTTGCTTATTGTAACTTTGCCTAATTAATCCCCATGTTAAGTTATAAATGATAATTTATTATTCAGACTCAGACTGTTTTACACTGTATGTCAGGTTTGCATTGATTTCTGTCCAGAACCATGGTTGTTATTACTCAGAAATTGTTTTTTATGTGTGTTGTTAAAATAATCATTAAGTATTAATGTGCTGTAGGATTGTTTTCTGCTATGCCCCAATATCCCTAGACCTTTCCCTTGGTAGTTTTTATGCACTGAAGGACAACTGTGTAAGGGTGTAGTAAAAGAGAATGAAAGTATTTCACCAATGAGATGACACTTTCAATTAGAATATTTTATACTTTCTTCAGGGTGTGACAGTTTTATATACTTTGCTTATATCCTGATTAATTAAAGTTTTTATTGAGTTGCTGTATTTTGAATTCACTACTTGGACTTGAAGTACCTTCATCAGGGAGAGCACAAACCGTAACACAGAACCAACATTCACAGTAAATAAGGCTGCTGCAGTGAAGATATTTGTAATACAAGCAAGTAGATCATTTTAAAAGTTGTGGGCAAAATTTCTAGACTATTAGACATTGGTTGTTGAAATCTCTTTTCTTCCTCTACGGCTATAAATTGTTTTACAATAGCAAGTTAACACATGTGCAGGAAGGGGTGGAAATACAGCACATATTTTCAGATATATCATGTTTTTGTTGTTTAAAATGTGCATTAATTTCCTGCAACTCTCTACAGCACTCCCAACTCAAGAATAAATAGTAAAGAAATAAAACACCCCTGTGTTGTAAAATTGTGTTAAAAATTTAATTTAAGGACAGACCCTCTATCATTTGTCTTTGAATATTATTCCTGCTTAGTTATGCTGAAAACCACACATTATTAACCATAAATCTTTTTCCTCCTTATTATTTGTATTTATAAACCACTATGTTATATCTTTAGATTTTAATATGTGGCCTATCCATGTGGCAATGATAAAGCTTTTGGCTGTCTCTTTTTTTTTTCCTTAAAAAAAACTTTCTCAAATCAAACAAGTTAAAACAAAGAGATTGCATGTCAGCAATCTTATGGCAAGAACATATTATTCTAATATGAAAATGGTTCTAATACCTTGAAAAAATACAACCACAGATGCCTGCTGTCCATATAAGCGAAGCTCCTATTGCAGCCAAGAGTTTGCAAATCTCCTAAATCACAGGTAACTGCTAGCTTGCCTGCCCTTCAACACGTTTGATTTCCAGCAACTTACAAATGATACCTTCACCTCTAAAATAAACACAAGGTACAAAAAATGGTTCCCAAGAGGTTCTTTTTTCAGGTATCGTAAGACTAGAAGGTTGTGAGATCCCATTTTGCCACTACTGAGTCTTAGATGGAATTCTCTGCTAAAATCAGCCAGGGAGAGAAGAAAGAAGAGCAGGGGACTTGAAAGCAGTTTGCATCATGTTTCTGGCTTTCTCTAGGAGGTTCTGCACCTTCATCATTAGAAGCCATGGTGTCAGTGTGAAAGAAGATTTCTAATAGCATCAAATTCAGCAGATAATTCTAAGTACCATCTGTTCAGTATTAATTTCTCGTAAGTTGCCTGGCTTAATTTGCCACAGTCCAAGTAAGGGGTTGGTTGTGTAAAAGTAGAGTACTTTCCTGAGTATTCCTAAGACAAAGCTCTCTCCTTTCCTCCAGTTCCACAAAGGGTATCTAAAGGATTGCATAACAAATAACTGCCAAGAATGTTAGAAATAGGGGACAAAGATACAGATATGTTATGGTAGGTGACATAGAATGCATGCCTGACTGTAAGAACATCAAGCCACAGGTCTCTCTTCCCTAGTGGTGTACAGTGTCTATTCTTGCTGCCAAGGGACAAGAGGACTCCACACCTCTTCCAGATCCCAATGACATGGAAATGCAGGGCTCATATTGTAAAGGCTATGACATTCTGTTTCCCAAATTTGCATACAACTCCACAGCCACTGGGTGATTAAATTATTTTAATACTGAGTGAGGTTATAAAATATCAATTATTGGACATTCAGCAATAAATCTGAAGCATTCATTTATTGTGCCCTGATCCAACCATGTTCCAATCCTGCACAGATATTAAGCTATCAATCTTCTCAGCTCTTTTGTAGGTCTTTAAAAAAAGAATCAAACCTCTTTGCATCCCTTCTCTTTTTTCTCATTTAATTTTTGTTCTGTGAGTCTGAAAACCAGTCAAGGAGTCCCCTGGATTCCTTGTTCTCCTCTGCTTTCAGTCTGTCTCTAACTCACTTTCTTATGGAATTTGTGGTTCTTCTCACATTTTCTTCTTTCTTATCCATTCTTTACAGGAGCAAATCACATAAATACTTTAAGACTCCTATCATAACTTTGATAACTGCATTTTTTTACTATGTTTGAGATATTTCTTTTGGCTGGCATTCATCCTCTTATTAAGTCAAGAATAAGTTAAGAACTGAATAGCTCTTAACCCCATCTGTCTGTCTATCTATCTATCTATCTATCTATCTATCTATCTATCATCTCTTTCTCCTTCACCGATTTACATTAGTGATTATTTTTTAAATTTTAAGCTTCTAAATGAGTAATATACTTGCTTAAGTATTTTATTTTAATTCTTTGAAATTCTTTCAAAAGAGTTGGCTTGGGCTCTTCCACTCCACTAGGATGAAAATAAGAGGTAGTTTTCCTAGTGTCAGTAGAATTGAGATCCTTTGTGCCACACTTGCCCACCTCTGAAAATTATAATTCTAGACACTCAGCAATGGAAACTCACAGCTTCAAGCTTTAACAGCTGGAAACTTATTACAGTAGGTGGTCATGTCCTAGGAAGCAGTGAACCTCTTAGGTCAGGAGCCTTGCACTCCACAGTTGTAGGCCACATCTTCCAATGCCAGGACTCTTTATAATTGAAGCCCTCTGGTACTTCAGATACAATGAGGTTCACTGTTTCAGTGACTTAATTTTTGTAGCACTCTTTGATTAAGTCTTATATCTTCTCTTCCTGGTCTTAAGAGTTCCATGATTTTTTTAGATTTCCAAGAATCTACTGTCCATTTTTCTTCTCAGAAAAATTTGGCCACATCCTAGTAGCTAGAAAAGCAAACAGTGGGCTTTCAAAATCAGTAGCTCTGCACTATGTAACTAGCGACGTGGTATTCAAGTTTGAGTGTTAGAAAACTCACTAATAACCTCCAGTCACTACCACATCTAGATGCTGTTGTCTAGAACTGGAAACCCAGAATTCCATCTGTTCTTAATGTTACTGTCAGCCATCATTAGTCAACATAAATACAACTAGGCAATGAAAGACAACTGGGAACCTGCTCACACAGTATAGAGACTCAGAACCAACCTTACTCCCAACTAGGGACTGTCCAGCCACAATATTGTGACCTGGATATCCAAAGCCCTGCCAAAGCCTGACTGAGATCACCTAGTTGCACTATCTCTCCTTGAGACCAAGAATGAGTTGAAATTGCCTTTGCTCCCTGTGAGTTCTTGAGTGTGTTTCTCCTATTCAGATTGTCAAATTCTTTCCAGTTGCATCTGTAGAGCTTACATCATAGTGACAAATTCCTTTATCTGTTTATCACTTTATTTCTCTTTTAATTTTAATAGTTTTGCTGGGTATAATAGTGTTGGTTAATAGTTGTAGATTTTAGAACTCGGAATATATATCTTTCCAGGCTTTTGGCTTTAAAGGTTTGTGTCAAATTATCAAATGTTAATGTTTACAATGTTCAGAAAGGACTACTCCATAGTAAGATTAAATACTGGTTTCTTTGTTTATTTGGCATTTCAGATTAAAACCTCTATCCCATCTCTTCTGTTTATAAGATAAAGTTCTTTTTCTTCAGCAGCTTTGCCTAGATGCTTGGAACAAGTTTCCTTTGGTAGTGAAAAACACTGGAATTTGATGACATTGTGAATCATCAAACACATTTCTGAGTGTGAACTATATTTGTGTCAAGAAAGAAATCAAGAAAGAAGTTTTTAAAATTTTTCTACAATTTAATGAAAATAGAAACATAACATAGCAAAATATATGGAACACAGAAAAGCGTATAGTACTATGTGCCTATATCAGAAATTATGAAAACTCTCAAAGCAAATACTTAATGATACATCTTAATTAGTGTTCATTCATGTCACTCATTTCCCTATTATGGACTCCCTTTGTCAACTTTGTATACTTTGTTTTGTAAACCTTCAAGGCAGTAAAGTAGCCAGGCCCCAGCCTAAGGAGCTCCAGCAGCCAAGACCTTCCCTCAGACCTCCCTAATGGTCATAATGGCATTTCAAGCCTCTGTAATTGTCACAAAGGTCATCTCCAGCCCCTCAACAGGACCCTCCCCAGACTATACTAATTTTAGGTGAAAATCTGAACAAACTCCACCAATCCCTGAACTTCCCACAGAAACCCATCAATCCCTGAGCGCAAAAACTTGCCAGTCCCTGAACAGGAAAACACACCAATCTGAGAACCCCAAGCCTAAGACTCGAAATCCTACCAATATTCATCTGGAAATTTTTGCCCTGAAAATCTCTGCCTTCTCAAAAATCCTATGTAAGCACTGTCCCTTGTCCAATTTCTGGCTGTCTGCTCCATCGTGGGAGCATAGAAAACCACTTCAGGATTTGTCTCTCCAGATTTTGTACCCTCCCATAAGTCTCTTTTATGAGATTTGCCACCCAGTGTGACTAGCTCATTGGAAGAAGCAAAG